GGGGCAGGTAGGAGGAAGTCCACAGAGCTGGCAGCCCTGTCCCCAAGCCAGAGGCTGTTGGAGTGTCTGGGGGGGCCAGGCACCTGCAGAACGGGGGGGGGTGGCACAGCCTGCGGCCCACAGAAGCCCCCACACTTCACTGTGTGCTGCACCTTTCTTCTCTAGGCCATCTGCTCCCCTCTGCTTCACATGAAGGGGGTTCTGGAGGACCGCTGCCCTAGGTGGAGGGAGCAGACCTGCCTCCCCGTGTCCTCCCAACAGGCACTGGCTGCCGGGGCTGCCTGCCTGCCTCTCTCCCTCCGTGCCGACGTCCAGCCCGCGAGCAGCCCCTACAGGGAAGGCTGTGCCCGTGGTCCTGGGAAGGTCCGAGTACATCGAGCCACCTTACCACGCTCCTTCCTCCCTGCTGAGGCCCATGGCCTCCTCACCCACCACAGCCTGAGCTCCCACACGAGCCACCACCCCAGGTCCAGCCGGTACGGCTGTCCTGCCCCAAGGCCCTGACAGCAGCCCTCACAGAACCGGGGGCCTCTCAGAGCTCGTCGCGCATCTCAGCACCCCAAGCACCCAACGGGTCTCCTCACTACTCCAGGAATTTCCTGTTTTAGGGGTCACTGCGGGCAGGAAAGCCCACAGCAGCGGTACCCACACCTGGACGCCCACTCTCTGGAGACCTACTTGGCCAGGCGCGAGTATTTCACTTTTCCCGCCTTCTCCGACTCGGCAGGCATGGCCTTCCCCCGAATGGTGGTCTCTTTCTCCCCTTCCTCCTCCTCTCCTTCCTCCTCCTCCTCGCGCTGCAGCAGGTCTGCCCTCCAGCCTGTAGGGGCCTTCAGCCGCAGGCCCTCGGGGGGCGTGTCACACTGCCACACACACAGAGCTCCATCCTGGCTGAGCGAGTAGAGCTGAAAGGGAGTGTAGCACAGCATGGCCCCTCCCCTACCTCCTGCACAGTAGGTCCCACTGAAGGCCCCGGCAGCCAGGAGCAACGTGCAGGGGCTCAGACCCACGACCCAGCCTGCCCCGAGACTCACATCCAGACTGTTAGACTCGAAGAAGCAGGCCACGATTGCGTCCTTGTGCCCCCCCAGTGCGTAGTAAATGAGGTTGTCCCAGCGCTCGGCTCCAAACACCCAAGTGGACATGTCTTTGCTCCCGACCACAAAGCACCTGAAAGGAGAGGGAGGAGCTGCAAGGGCTCACAGCCGCTGAGCACGCCTGAGCTCCAGTCTGCAGCAGGCTCCCACCACCACACACCGGGACGTTGTCCTACACATAGGGATCCTCTGGGAGCTGCTTCCATCCTGTGCCTTTCCTCCCCAGACACAGCTGATGCCCAAAACAAGAAAACCGTTCCCCACACAGGAGTCTGCTACCAATGTCACTGGGTGAGAGGCAGCACAGGAAGGCTCAGCTACTTGAGGCCAGTCCCGGCTCAGCAAGCCAATACACACACACAGCCTGCCTCTCTCCCCCACCCCCACCCCCACAGGGCCAGCACAAGTGCAGGAACAAGGCAGAAGCCAGGGCCAGAGATACAACAGCACCGGCAGCTCCTGCTCAACAGGGGGCAGTGATCAGGAAAACCGAGACCGCAGAGGTGACTTGGGACTGGGCAGTGAAAGGCAGAGATCTGAGCTCAGGGACTGGGCCCTGGTGCTAGCTCCCGACAGCACTGCTGGCAAGGCGTTTAAGACAAATGAATGTACAACTCCACATCTGCAAAGACCCATATCCTGTCCCTAGTTTCCAGTGACAGTTTCCTAGTTTCTAGATAAAGACGCGCCTCAGAGCTGCCTGGTCCTGCTTTGGGGAGCTGCACCTAGTCACCCGTGGAGCTCACAGGAGAATGCCTCAACGCGCCCCATCAGCACAAGCGGGAGCTGTGTTCTCCCAAGGGAGATGGTCACCGGTGCCTCACCTGGAGTCATCTGTCCAGTCAATGCACGTTGTCTCGTCATATGGCCCAAAGTAGGTTTTGTCCAAGACAAACGCATTGAATTCTCGCTTCTTCCCAGGAGCATGATACATCTGAGCGATGTTGCCCTTAGTGACAACAAATTTCCTGCAAGAGAACTAGGAATGCAGGTGCTATCCAAGCTGGTGGTAGCTCAAGAGGGGTATAGAGCCTGGAGCCCCCCAGCCAGCCCCCAGGACCTGCATGGTGCCCCATTTCCTACACGACAGGGGCTGAAGGGAAGAAGTCAGGACTGGGGTACCCACTTTCTCCTCTACTATCCCGGGGAAGCTGCTAATGTGGGAGGCAAGACTGGCCCTGTGCCCAGGTAACCACCCCAGGCCCAAGTGGAAGCAGCAGAAGTTGGCCCGGCAGCCAGTGCCCTTACCTGCCATCGGGGGAGAAGGAGACGCTGTGCACAGAGCCCTTGAAGTGGAAGTGGTGCAGCACTGACCTGCAGACCAGGCTGACCAGCAGTGCAGCGCCCCCTGCAAAAGGCCAGGGGTGACCCTGCAGCAAACCCTGGGACCTATCCCCATACTCGGCCCCTGCTTCATAGGCATGGCTAAGCTTGAGAGAGTGGCTGTGCATGTACACCCAGGGCCCCAAGCACTAATTCCAGGAGCCATGAAGTCAACCACTGCCCCAGCCACTATTAGAACATGGTGCATAGGACACAGAGCCACCCCACCCAGCCCCGGCCCCCACAGGGGGCCTGCTGCCTGTAACCCCTGTGACCCCACCCCCCAAAGCAGGTGATCACCTTCATCAACGATGATGGCAAGACGGCCATCGGGAGACAACCCCACGCACTTGATGTTGTACTTTGTGGCCAGAGGCAGAGTGTTTGATCGGTTGCTGCACAAGGCAAAAGCCATAGCACACAGTGTCATCAGACAAAGGACAGAGAGTCCAGAAACAAATCATCAGCCCAGCTCTCCAAGGATCCATGGTACCAGAGTTCACCTCTTATCCCTGGGCCTTCCCCCAAACTATCCCTGAAATATGTCTGGGGAAGAGTATAGCACAGCATCTGCTTTGTGCTGAGCACCAGTGGCTCATGCTTGTAATCCTAGCTAGTCAGGAGGCTGAGATCTGAGGATCATGGTTTGGAGCCAGCCCATGAGACTCTCATCTCCAACAAACAACTCAGAAAAAGCCAAAAATTAGAGCTGTTGTCTAAGTGTAGAAGTAGTGCCTGGGTCCTGAGTTCAAGCCTCAATGCTAACACTGAGAAAAAAAAAAGAAATGGGAAAAATACATGGAAAGAGAAAAACAGACACATCTCTAAAGACCAGAGCCAGGTTGTAGTTATCTTATTATTGTCCTGATTTTCTTCAACATGTCCTCCTTCGCCTAGAAAGCCTCTTTTAAACAAAATGGAAACGAGCAGTGCTCACAGACCCGTTCCTGCAATGCCCTGAACCAGGCGCAGCTGGTGGCAGACAGAGCAACTGAGGCCCCGAAGACAGAGACCCAAGCAGTCTCAAAACCCAGTGTCTTGCTCCGGCTGCAGAGGGTCAGCCCAAGGCCTTCCACCCACGGCGGGAAGGAGCTCGGCCCTTCCTGACAGGACAGGAGGCCGCCCCTGAGCGCCACAGGCCTGCAGCTGCGGGGCGGCTGCCCGGGCCGGCCGCGCTGAGGCCTCGGGGTCCGTCAGGGACGCCGGCTGAGCG